TTTATACACACAGGAGGAGGGGATGACGAGACACACCTGGGAGCAATGAAACATCAAGGGAAACACCTGGGACAAATGAACTTAACTAATCAGGGGAGGAACAGGAAACTAACCAAATAAGGGCATGGGAAGGCACATGGGGAGCAGGACACACACAAAACATGGAAGAGTCTGACAAGAACATTCATAAATAACGTTCTTGTAACTGGACATATTTTTGTTGGCTGGGTTAACACCCAATTGCAGACTCTATATATAGCAAATTAAAAAAAAATAAAATAATAATAAAACCAATATTTAACACAAAATTATAATGACTGAGCGTGTTCACTATAAACAAATGTGATAGTTTGAAGGTCACAACGTCTGCAAAACTTTCTGAACTAGATGTTTTAAACCAGCATATAAAACCACTGACCGAGAAAACAAGCATTAAACTCAGAATCTGACAGATCCAGCGCGTGTGACAACTAGCCCCGGTCTCCTCTACATAAGCATTCCAGACATCACCTTTACGCGTGATCGCTCTAAATGTTTATGTGAAGCAGACCGGGGCTAGTTGTCACACGCGCTAGATCTGTCGGATTTTGAGTGATCGCGCTCTTACCCAGATCCGCTCCGGTGAGTCCGACGGTCCGCTGGTGCGTAATGAGCGCACGCTCTGCAGGTAGAGCCATCGCATTTGTGTTTTCCGCAGAATTTAGAGCGTCACTGGCAGCTTGGAGGCGTAAGATGTGAAAAACGCGCACAATGGAAAGTTATTTCCAGCCATCAATCAGAGAGAGCGCGGTGTGAAAGAATCAACGCGCAACGAGTCACCTGACGCGACTTCCCAACATCATGTTTAATTTAATCACTTTAGTTTGTCATATAAAACTGCGTAGACACTAAAGGTGGTGCTTGAGGCGCAGCCATTCACTCATACACCTAATCTTTAGAGCAAGTCTGCAAAACTACAAGCACTCAGTCTGCTATTGTAAAACACACTTTCTGCAAAACTCTAAACACAGTTCTCTACATTGAACACATCACTCAAACTAACAGCTTTTGTGTTTAATTTGGGAAACACTGCCATAATGCCACAATCATTTACTGATGAACCACAGCCAGTGATCATGAGTGAAAACACTTACACATCATTTCTTCACTTAGAAATCAAAATCAAAACTCAGTGTTTTGAGAAATAAATTATTTTTACCCCTTTGCATTTCTGTTTACAGTATATATATACTATGTTTGTGTATACGTGTGTGTATGTACAGTACACACACACACACACACACACACACACACTCTCTCTCTATCAAACACACACACACACACACACACACATGTTGTGTTTCCATGTTTGCATGCATGAGCGAGTGCTGTGCTATATATATATATCAGATTTTTATTGTCATGACATTTCATTATATTATTTTTAACATTCTATTTTATGTGTTGATGATCAGTATTTGTAACTAAATAACT